ATTTATGATAAGGAAGGTCGATCTTAGCAACAGTCACTGTTGTAAATAGCCGTTACAACTGCTTGTATATTGTAATCACTGGGGTTGCTTTACTTGAAAGAACATGAATGCTGCGGTCTGTCCACAGGGATGGTGATATAATGTGTCCAGGGTACAGCTGGGCAATGGGGCTTTTAACGCTCCCCCGTTTATTTTATTGTGCAGCCAGGAAGGAGCACCACTGCTTTACATGAAGTTTCAGGGATGGGGGACAGAAGGCTGGGAAGACTGGGGTGTTTCCCAGTCTTGGAGCTCTCATTTTCACAGGGCTGTCTTTTTTGGGAATGGTATTTGAAGAGATCCATTAATTGCTAGATTCCTGAGCTTCGGTGCCCCTCTAGAAATGTAAAGCACTTGAGGATGGAAGAAATCAAATATTTGGGAGGAGTTGTTGACTGAGTTGGTTCAGGACAGATTTGATGTTGGTGACTTTCTGTTTTAAGAGAGGAAGTGTCATTGTAGATAGCTAGGTATTAATAAAGGGAGCAAAGGTAATTGGACATTGAGTTTAGTCAACTGGGGAACATAGGCCTGCTTGCCTAACCAGGAAGCTACAGCATTTACAGACTCATTCATGCACTGCAGGGTCTGCAACTCAGGAGGCTTAATCCAAGGGGCACTGGAAATCTCTCCAGGACCACTGTCCACCCTCTGGTTCCCAGATTGTTGGGGGGCCCTGGGGGGAGCCCTATCAGTCTAAAGAGGGTGGATCTGTCAGATGCCCACAACAGCTTGGGAAGTTGGTTGGTTACTTTGAAAAAGCACCAGGTCCTCCCCAAGCTGAGCTAATACAATCCCAGGGGAACATTCTCTCCCTCTCTCTCTCTCTCTCTCCTCTCTGTCTCTCTCAGTGACCCACACTTGCCCTGTTCATTTGTATGGTCTCTCTCTCACCCAGGAACACATGCAGCCATGTGGATCTAGCAGCCATAAAGGCCCACAGCAGACCGATGTCTCCAGAGACCTACACTTTAACATGAACCAGAAACCCAGGACACGGGCCTTTGTTTGGCCTTGCTATGAAGACACCATCAGACTTCTTCCATGGTGGGACAGATGGAGATGGGATGTTGGAAACCCAAGGGAAGGCTTCCACCAAATAAGTCTTGCCACACCACCGTCTCCTGTGCGTGGGCCTGTGAAATGCATTTCTTATGATCTTGTGAAAGAGCCTGATTTCCACTGTCAACAGAAGGAGTATCTGTGTTTAATAATGTGATGGCAGATTTGCACATCATCTATATAGACAAGACTATGACTGAAGACAATGGCGGAGGAGAAAATGGCCACAGTTTGGGTGGACAATACAAAACCATCCACAGAGTAGATCAGATAAATAGGAAGAGAATAATTGACTCACTACTTGGAGGCCTGTTTAACTGTTATATGTGACCCTGGGGTCATTTAGCAAGTTACTTTTTCTAGCGCAATAAACGGTATAGCATGTGGTTCAAAGAGTTATTTGCTTCTGAGCTCTCCATGTACTCTGCTGCTCTTCAATGTCCAATGCTTTTCTTATGTTAAAGAATGGGTTTTGTTGGACAAAATAGTATTATAAAAAAAACCAAGAATCTTCTGGATGATTTATAGAGTGAAGTTTCTCATATTTAGAGAGTCTTCGTTATACCCCTATCTTTCCATCGGAAGTGAGTTCCTGGTCTGAACTAAGCCCATAGGAATTAAAAATCCTCAAGGTTAGAGGAGAAACTATGGCGGAATGAAGGAGAAAGGGTGTGTCTTGGGAATTCGTGCTGGATGAAATTAGGGACAATTTTTCACAAATGACTACAATTATGACTGGTAATTGTGTTTGCTAAAGAAAAGGGGTGCTGTATTTCTTGGAATGCTCTTAACAAAGATGGGTGTATATATGATCATCATAAAATGGTATTGAGCAGATGGCAGAACAAATTTTCTTATCATTATTAAGAATAGACTTTTACATTGTCCTCAGATTCAGACATCTCAAGCGTAAGAATTTTGAGGTGACTTGAGGAGGAGAAATCCTAGTAAAACAATGAGAGATGTTCCCTGAATGTAAACCCAGAGCCACAGGGAATTAATTATCTTTTAGTGAAACCTGGACAGGAACGGATTTAATCTCTCTCTGAGTTCAGGGTGAATTGTGTTTCAAGTTCAGCTTTTCAAGGAACTTTTAATAATGTCAAACTACTAAGTATGCATGTATGGGATTGGATAAATTCAGTCTTTCTTTTCTCACCTTTTAGAAAACTAATTGTGAGAAGATTATTGTAGTCATGAAATCGTTTGACTGTTTTGTGGCTCTAAGGCAGAAATCAAAAAGAATTAAAGGTATGGTGGGTCTTTTATTCATTCCTGTACAAGAAACAGTGTTCTCCGATTACACACTTTTTCAAATACAGCTTGAGTGAATGAATATTTCCCTGCATTGATATTTAACAATCGAGTATTGCTGCAGGTGGCAGAGCTCAGTCTCTTAAGAAAGGAATATAACTGGACATTACATTTTGATTGTAATCACCACATACTTCTCTGCCCAATTGTTTTTATCATATTCTTTGAGTTCTACTGATGGTGATCTCCATAATCAGCAGGTATTTCTGTATTTTGCTTCTTATTTTGGTGGCAACAACTATCAAGTTCAGTGATTATACATGCCAGGATTCACGGAGGGCCCTAAGATCTCTTTTCTAGAGGATAAACTGGAGTTTGGATGAAGTAATCAAATGAATGCCCTAATGTTTCACATTGTTCCTGTACACAGCTCTCTGTTTGGTTATTTGTTCTAGATTCACAGCTTAGGCAGTAGAAGGATCTCAAGGCAATGGGAACAGACAGAGTTGGGATGCTAGAAAAATCACCAGGGCTTGCTATTTAAGTCTTCTTTTGTTTCCATACCCCTATTCGTTAAAGCAAATTTGCAGAAGACCGTATGTATGAAAGCAGATAGCTCTGGCAGAGATTGGTGTACATGGATAATTGATGTAGTTGTTAACCTTTGGCTTTTCATCACCCACCGAGTTATTAATTTGTTGTCGTTGGTGGTATTGATGGCCATTAAGAATTCATCACGGGACGGTTTCCTCTTCCTGCTTCTTTGTTCCCTTCTTCACGGGTGAAGCAATGACTGAATGCTAGCAAAGTGTTTTGCTGTCCCTCTATTATTACCTGATACCTCATCAATTTAACGAAAAGAAAAATTAAAAGCTAGGGAAAAAAAGCTAGCAATTTGACATATAATTTTTAAAAATTAATTTAACACCTTTATTTAAAATGAGGTCTATGTTGGGAATCTATGTTTTGAATGGAAAAAAAAATAACAGTGTCTCGTGTTTGTTTAGTGCTTTAGACAATGTATCCACATACAGGATCTCATTTGATTCTTCCATACTGCGGATGCTGGAAACGTACCGATCACCTTCACTTAATTGAGAATGCCTCTAATTACAAACATTTTAAATTGACTGGCTTAGTGTGGCCAATTCAGGGGGCAGCACGGAACTCCTGTAGGACTGTCAGGCTGAAGTAACCATGAATTCAGTTCAGTTTACAGAACGTGTACGAAATGCCAGTCACAGACTAGTCCTTGAGCTTGGCATGGGTGGTAATTCATTATTATAACTTTTCTGGTTATGGCAATGTAATTTGGGTGGTTGTCATTTATTGCCTTTTTTCTCGTGCTTGGGAAATGTTTCTTTAAACTATGTCAACACAAAATTTTCCATTTTGTAAATATGCAGATAATATAATTGTACACAAACTAAAAATGGCAGTTGTTTTTAAAAATCTCAAAGGTTAATTACCTATTTGGTGTGTGTCTTTGTTCTTAGAAAAATGTGTTTTACATCTCATTTGTATCTTTTCCTTCTGGTTGTAACCTTGCCCCATTGTATAGCTGTTACAATGCTGGCAGTAAATGAACCGTTTGAGCCATTGGGCAGCTGGTGCCTCCGGGTATTATTCCTCGATTCAGCCATCTTCCTTTGCGACTTGTTTGTGACCATTGAAATCCCTTCCTAGGGACAGGACCATTCCTGCCTTTTCCTTGCTTCAGCTGCTTCCACTTCAACTTGGCATGGGATTCGGGGAGCCCTGGACTGTGTTTCTTGCTTTCTCAGATTTCAAGCACAGCTAAACAGCAGAAATCGCCTGGGAAGGCTCGTTTAACACGTGAGTTTCTAGTCTTCTCTCTGCCTGCTTCCCAACCTCTCCAACCATTTTAGTTGGTCTGGGGCAGGGCCCTGGAATCTGCCTTTCAACACTCTGGAAATTTTAAGGTATTTGTTTAGAAAGGGTATTGGCATTAAAACGTGATTGTCGCAAACCAGGACATGGAGATATTCTGTTGACTAGCAGTTCTTGAGGGAGTTCTGAGATTTCCAGCCCCTAAGAAATGATCCTGAACCTTTTTTCTGTCCTCCTAACCTGGTTGAGTGTCTTGGTCCAGCCAGCCCACAGTTGCGCTGAGACCATAGTATGTGCCATTGGCGGTGGCTCTGTCTGTTTCTGCTCACGTGCCGGTGACACGGGATATTCAGGGACCCAGTAAGAGTGTCAGTGAAATATCAAAGCACAATTAACTGTAAGGACATCACTATTTGCTCTAGATTTGTTAGTGTGATCTGGAGAGTGACACGTATGATGGGAACAGCGGCATTTGCTGATGACATAACACAGATTCGGGACACTGAGCACACAGTTTAATTTGCTCACGTTTAAGGGCCCGAGTGCTGCACGGTGAGGAGAGACTGCCACAGCTGCTGCGCATGCGTCAGCGTTCGCATTCCACACCGACACGAAGTCCTCGCGCCCGTTTCTCAGCGAAGTCCACTGACAAGTCCACTGGCCTGACACCGAGTATGTCTTACTGGGCATCTGGCCAGAGCTCTTTGCAGGAGAGGATGCTGACCCCTTGAGGAGGCCCTGGTGCTCCCATGTCTCGGGCATCAGCTGTTCCTTCAAGTTCACCACCTCACATTCTATTCTGCAATGGTGCTCAGCTGATTGGCGGTCTGATTTGCTGGGTACTTCGAAGAACTTGAGTTTCTGGAACATGGAGCGATGCCCATGGGTAACAGGAAACCGACAGTCTTTATCTTGTCCCTAAAGAAAGCAGGATAAGGGGAGGAGAAACACAACTTGTTAGTAGCTTTTATACAAAACATCCAGTTTTTTTCCCAAATCACCCACCACTGCCTAAAGTGTTACAACTTCATTTTAAATATAGCATAATATTTTCTTGCTGTGTATTTGCTCAGTGACAACTCTAGACTATATGTTGAAACTGGCCCTTTGATGAAGTCCAGAGAAGAGGGTTGATAACACTACAATTTGAAAACACTGACAAAGTGTCTGTATGCCTGAGAATCATTGACTGGACGTTTAAAGGTGAAGACTATTTTGCCACCTCAGGCAGAAGGCCTTTTCCCATCCAGGCTCTTTAGTTGAAAAGCACGCATCTGAGGCAATTATTTTATGAACCAGATCGATCTGCAGCTACGGACTTCGCAGTAGGTAACTGAGTACCCGTCACGTCCGACCAATAAAGGGGAGAGAGTATCCACAGTAATAACCCAGCACTGTGTGAGTGATTATCTTTTCATTTTGCTCACTTCCCTTTTCCCGCTAACAGTGTTATGTAGGATTTTGACATAAAACAGGACAAACTGCTCCCAGGAAGAAGCCTGGAGAATGGTGTTTAAACTTATTGCCTCTTCTCCAATTTTGGTCTCTCTCTTTCATTACGTGAGGCTGTAACTCCAGTGAACGGCAGTTAGTGGCCCGCAGCTAGGGGTGCGCATCTGCGCCCTTCCTTGGGAGGAAGGCCCGTGGTTCCACATATTGGGATCCATAAAATAACACCTGCTGGTGCTTAGTAAGCACTCACTTTGCTGCTTCATTTTTTCTTCACAAAAGCAACACGGTGACTGCTATTATGACCCCGTTTTTAGGGAAGAGTGAACTGGCATAGGCTAGACCAGTGACTTAGCCAAGGCCGTGTTGCTGGTGAATGGTGGAGTTGGAGCTTTAGCCATGTGAGTCCGGGGCTGCCTTCTTAACCCCTTTGTTACAGGAGACGAAGACAGTGTATCGCTTTTGATGTGTCTGGTTTCTCCTACCAGTAAAATAAATAGAATAGCACTTGTCATTTTAGGTGTCTCCATGGGCCCTTTCTCCTAATCTTTTTGACAACTTGAGATTGTTTTTTTTTTCTTCAACGTAGGAGGAAAAGATTGCATTTCTATGTTGAAATTCAGGAAAAATTAAAATCCTATCTCCAGTTTTCTGAGAGCACTGGTTCTTAGAAATATTGACATTGGCATTATTCTATAAAATACTTCCTCGACATAATAGTGGAGAATTTCACAAGCAAATTAGGTCTGACTGTTCCAAAAAGCCAGTCCAAACAAACTGGTCTTCATAAATCTTTGTAAAATTCTTTGAGAGCTGTTAGAAAGTAAATAAATCTCCCAGAAACACCAGAGGAGTAATATAATGGCATGTCACTTTACTACTCAATCCTTGAGAAAGTAAAAGAAAAAAAAATCTGAAAAAATCTGTGTAATTCCTAATCAACTGTTCTCTCTCTATCTACTGGATGTTATGCCAACCTAGCTGTTGATTTTCATCCACTACTTAGTTTCTTGTTTTCACACAGTCCCAAAATTGGCTCAATCTTTCAAATTAAAGTAGATTCCAAATTAGAAATGGGTGGTGTTCCAATAGTTTATTTGTTGGCAGCTCGGAAGCTGGAAAATGTTTAGCTTCAGAGAAATAATACATCATAAACATTGGGTAGGTTCCCAAACTATCATAGAAAATATATACACCAACATGGTAAAATTGATACTACTCTATCTCTCAGTGAACATTGCAGGTCTGTGAGAAGGTAACGGTTTAAGAGGAGAAAACATAACATTGTAAAACACGCCGTGTGCAACTTCAGACGAGTGGACGCGAGCCTGCAAAGACGTCCGTCACAACCTAAATGACGCTGGTTCGTGTGTGGGAGTACGGAAGATGTTCCTTTGCAGACTTCTTCCTTTGAATGTTGCATTTCTACTCTGTGATCTGTAATGTTTTACAAAAATTCCATTTCGTGCTTTTAAGTGACCAGAACTATCTGTGTATTTATGTATGTACGTATGATTTCTTTAGGCAAAGGGCACATCTCTGCTTCTCCTCCGTCTTTGAAAACACACAGCCACTGGAACACGACCGTTGGGTGCGCATTTCTCATTTCTGTGCCCACAGCTCCTCTGACAACACACTCTGTTGGCTCCACCTCCAAAGCACATTCAGAAAGGGTGCTCACCGTTGCAGCCCTTGGCCAAGGAACTGTCGCCTCTTGCCCAGATTACTATTTTTAGCCTTAAATCTGGTCTCCTTGTTTTCTGTATTGTTTTTGTAGAGTCTTTGTAAAAGCAGGGCTACTGATATGATCTTTAAAAAATATGGTAAGAGTATGCTATGCACCCCCATTCACGTGGAATAAATCCAGAATCATCGGAAGAAAGTGGAAGTCCCCCTGGGCATTTTCCTTCACTTCCTCTGCTCTCTCTCTTTCCCACTCCATTGCCTTCACACCTGCCTCCTCACCTTCCTCAAACACCCATCCGGAGCCTGCCCAGGACCTTGCCCTCTGTTCTCAGTGCCTAGAATGTGCCCCCCCACCCCCCGCCCCAAATCCTCAGAATCCCCTTTCCTCTTTACATACACGATGAGGCATTTTCTGGCCATGATATAAACATTTCAGCAATGCTTGCTCCTTATAGCCATCTAACCTAATATACATTTTATGCATTTTTATGTCTATTGATTATCATGTCACAAAGGAAAAAGCCCATATAGGCAGGGAGTTTTGAGAATTCTGTGTCCTACGGCATCCTCCGTGCCTGGAATCCTGCCCAGCACATGGTATATCATCAGGATGTATTTGCTGAATGAATGAAGGCATGTAATGAAGGCATGAAAAATACACTCAAAGGATAGAAACTAAACTCATAATAATACTTGCTCCTCGGGACTGGGGAAGAGAGGCATAGGCCCTCTCTTTTTAGTAGTAATATTTTTTCTTTCATATATAAAAATGTCTGAAGAACATATGATAAATTTTTATGGATGAATACATTAGTATTTGTAACATCAGCTTCTGAATATTTCTGTATGTTGAAATTTTTCATAAAAACATTTTTTCTAGATTTGCCATAATTACTGGATAAAGCGCAGACTCTGAGCTCGCGGGAGGCCTTTCATGTTGGATCTTGCTCACCGCTCCATCCTCATTTGCTTCACTCGCCACGGGGACAATCTCCTCTGCCTTGCTGTTATTTTTGCTCTACCTGGGATGAGCTCTCCACTGTTCTCTGCCTGGCTACATCCACCCGTCTGCACGACTCCGGTTACCCTCTTTGCACCTGTAATGGAACTTCCTGTAAGCGAGATACAATTTTCATCCTGCCTTGTAAAAGTCAAATAAAACTGCCTCTACCTTTGTACCCCACATCCTGTGGGGAGTCCCATGCTCTTTTCAACACTGATGAGAATTCCCACCAGCCTGTTACTTCTCACTATCTCTTGATTTGACTTCCTGCCACTGCCGGATTAGATGGCTCCCGTATTCTCTCCTCCACCCTATTGGTTCCATTTTCTCTTCCTGGCGATAAGGGAATCATGAAACTCAGGCCCAATTTTCTTTGTTCTCCTTCTTCCAGTCTGAGGAGACCAATGGGTGCAGACTCCTGATAAAGACTCAGGGCTGAAGCAGGGGTTGGAAAATAGAAACGCAGAGTGTGGGGCCGGGGGGTCAAGATCTAGCAGTTTAGAGCCGATCCGTTTTGCTGGATGGCAACACTCTCGTTCTGAAAGAGCCCTCAGCTGTACCCAGCCCAGGGGGCACTGGCCGGCCAGCATTCCTCTTACACTCCCAGGCTGTCTCTCCAGTGTTTTCTCAAGCCCTCCAGTGCTCGGGCAGCTGCTTCTCACCTCCTAAATGCCAATGTACATATTTTGCATTGCATTTAGTTTTCACTTTGTCTTTTGGCCATTTTAGGTTATGCCCAAAGGGCCCTTTTTATGCCCCCCAAAGCCTTCTTAAGACACCTTCCTCCAAAAGAACAGTTCTCTCTCAGAGGGGACTTCTGTGCTCCGTACCTAGAGTAACTGTCTTCTCCCCAAGACACACATTATTGTAGGGGTCAGTTTACCTATGTGTCCTTGTCGGTCCATGAAAGTTTCAAGTAAAACATTTTATTTTTGCTGACTCTTGTATCACTGGCTCCTAGCTCAGAGAATGATCACTAATAATGTTTGATGAGTGAATGGACACTGTTTTCCACTTACTACAGGCATCTGTTAGAGAGTGCCATTTGACTTCAAATACATGTGTTCTTTTTTTTTAAGATTTTTAAAAAAGATTTTATTTATTTATTTTTAGAGAGGGAAGGGAAAGAGAAAGAGAGAGAGAGAGAGAGAAACATCAATGTGCGGTTGCTGGGGGCTGTGGCCTGCAACCCAGGCATGTGCCCTGACTGGGAATCGAACCTGCGACACTTTGGTTCACAGCCCACGCTCAATCCACTGAGCTACACCAGCCAGGGCCATGTGTTCTTTTTGATTTCTGAAATGGACATAAGTCAGATGGAAGTAATTTTGGCCCAATGGCCTATTTGGTTTTCTTTCCTCCACTAGATATGACCTTGCCTATCCAGGAGAACATCCAAGTAGCCATCACAGCTTATGTCCCTGTAAACTAGCTTGGGGCAGATGGGACCTCACCTGCAGCCAAGAACAGGCTCAGGAAGGGCTCTGTGGCTGTGACTCTTGCTGGTAAAAGAATCTTCTGCAAGCAGTTTTTCTTCATTGTCTTTCTTCTTGATTGAAGAACATGCCAGCGATTGGACTGTTCCCCGGGCTTCTAGATTTCTACTGTGTGCATGTCTTTTCCCAGGTGTCCAGGGATCCTTTGCAGCAAATAAATGGATCGGCGAGGAAACAGAATAGCGCCGAACAATCATGACGTTGCCTGTACAGGAGACACAAAACTTAAGTTTAAAAATCCTATATTTAATAATGTTCAGAAAGGGAAAATTGTCTTGATAGTATTTTCTTGAAAGTAACTACACAAAAATATTATTTTTTATTTGTTTTTTTTTGCATAAAAGACATCCACTCACTGATTTACATTACAAAAATTGTCAACATTTTTAAGAGATGGGGATGTGCTCGTGAACAAAACAAAATTCTCCCCTGTGTAGAGCTGACCCTCTTGTGTGGCCAGCGGACAATTAACAAACAATAAATTCAGGTGGCGATAGATTCTAGGAAGACAAATAAGGCTGATGAGGGCATTGGGGTAGAGACCGAGGAGGGAGTGGATGTGAAGGCCGTTTAACTGTGTGGCCGGGAAAGAACTTTCTGGGAATACAGCATTGAAACAGAGATGCTGATTCTGGGTGGCTGCCTCACTCCTGAGTCTCAAGATCCTGCTCTACCATGGTCCCTCATCACCTGAGTGGCCACAGATGTCTGGTCTGGCTGCTGCTAACCGGCCTATGATTGTGTGCTTTGCCTTTAGTTGGGAGAGTCATCATAAGGAAGCCTGTTGAATGAGGGGTGAAAGCGAAGTTGACACGTGGAAAGAAGCAAAAATATCTTTTGTGAAAAACTGGAGCGCTGCTGAGAGAGAGGGAGAGATCTGTAGCCTTCCTTTCTGAAGGTTTCCAATTCAATTTCTGTCCATAATGTCTTCCAATAAGTTCTTTTCCTGAAGCAAACCAAATCTTTTAGAACCATTCCTGGTAACTAAAGCACACTGATTAAAAGAGCTTCATTCAAGGAAGTCTTCGTTTGTCTGAGTCTCAGCTCTAACACTGAGCTAGCTGACCCCATGGCCTGCATCCAACATCTATGCAGACATCAGACATCGAGTTATCACCCCCGAGGCTTACCACCCTGACCTTGAGACCTCGCAGTTTGTTTTTCTTTTTCTGGTTTTTTTTTCCCCTGTAAGATGGGTCTAGTAGTGCTTAGTTGTCTTTAACTTCATTCAAAAACAATTTTGTTAGATTGTATTGTGACAGCTGTCAGATCAGAGTGCACTTAAAAAAACTTAGCAAAATTGGTGAATTTTTGTGCAGCCATTTTAATATTGAAGATGGAAGAAAATAAGTGACATTTTCAGCCTATTATGCTTTATTATTTCAAGAAAGGCGAACATGCAATTGAAATAATAAAAAATAAAGATGTGTTCAGTGTGTGGAGAAGGTGCTGTGACTGATCGGATGTGTCAGAAGTGTTTTTGTGAAGTTTCCTGCTGGAGAGTTCTCGTGGGATGATGCTCCATGACTGATGGACAAGATGCTGCTGGTCGTGATCACATTGAGACATTCGAGGATAATCAATCTTATACAATGCAGGAGATAGCTGACATACTCAAAATATCCAAATCCATAAAGCTGTTGGTGAAAATGAAAATGGGGCTTTTATTTTTCAGAGGAAATTTAAGTGGAAGTTTTGGCCAGCCCAATAAATGTTTTCAAATCTTGACCATAGCGTTAGTCATAGCGTTGCCATTAACTAACGTAGAAGTGTGAGGAATCCCTGCTCTTAGGCTCCTGTTTAAAGTAAACGGAAGTTTAAAGTATCTGATTAAAGTAACTAACCTGGGCTCCTGAGCACAGACTCAAATCATATTTCTTTCTGTGTCTGATCCATGCCAACGGGTAAGTGGTCCCCAAATTTACCGAATGTTTCCCACCCGTCCTTTTTAAATATAATGCTAATATTCTTATTGGAAGTTATCCTCCATATGCTGAAGAAGTGTTGTACCAACCGCCTTATTAATATTCTAACTTCCTCTCGGCTGGGTGGCATGCTCTGTTCTTTGAACAGTGTACTGCTTGTTTTAGAATGGCACCGGATACGCAAAGGCCACACTTTCTTATCAGGAGAAGCACCCCAGAAAACAGGTGTGAAGGAGTGTAATTGACCTTCGGAGTGAGCAAGGCAGCGGTTTCCAGTTGGAGGGCCTTTTGTCCCCGAGGTGACACTGCGAATGTCTGAAGGCATTTTGGATGGTCCTGGTTGGAGAGGGGAGGCGAGTGGTACTGGCATCTAGTGCTTGGAAGCCAGGGAAACGGCTAAACATCCTCCCAGGCCCCAGACAGACTCCTACAGTACAGAACTGCTCAGCCCCCGAAGCCGAGAACCCGGAGGTTACGGAGCCCTAGAATCGGGAGATATAAATGTCCATTTTTTTTTTTACCAGGAGCAGTTCAAACCTCCTCATGGGTTACGCTTTCAATTTTATTAATAACCGGCAGACAGAACTACTCAGATCCAAACTTGTACTTGACAAAAAAGGGAAAAGGCCCTGATTTAAATCTGTTCCCAGCTTTGAAACATAGGGTCTTATCCTAGACAGAGAGTTCTTTAACAGAGAGAAGCAGCTGGTAAGTAGGACATGTCTCACCGCCAAGCTGTTCAGGACCTCTAAATGGTATTGCCCGAAGCCTTTGGCAGATGATGTCAAGAGGACTTTGAGTATTTAATTATGTATATCAGTTTTATTTGAATAGGCTGTGTGTAGGCAAGCACCGACAATTTCAATACAGGATGTATTTTTTTCCCTCTGTTCATTTCTGACCTCATGTATATAGCCTTCACAGTCAAATTTATTCTCAGTAAAAGGTGAGAGATTTGATTTTTAGAATATATTAACATTGACCTTGCATCTTGAAGCATTCAACTTGTATAATAGGTTGAATTATATATAACATACCTTCATACAGGACGGTAAAGTTCTTTGTAAAACAGGGATAAGCAACAATACCTGCCTTTTGTTGTATATTCGCCAGGTGGTAATGCTAAGCACTTGATCTATTATTGCAGTTAATCCTCACAACTGTGTGGGATGGGTACTATAACATTTTCTTTTTAATTTTATTTCTAAATTACAATTCACATTCGATATTGTTTTGTATTAGTTTCAGGTGTGCAGTGTAGTGATTAGACAATTACATAATTTATGAGGTGATACCCCAGTAATTCAAGTACCTACCTGGCACCATACAGAGTTATTAGAATATTATTGAATATATTCCCAGGGCTGTACTTTACATCCCTGTGACTCTTTTGTAACTATAAACTTGTACTTCTTAATCCCCTCAGCTTTTCCGCTCAGCCCCCAACCCCCTTCCCTTCTGGCAACCATCAGTCTGTTCTCTGTACCTACGAGCCTGTTTCTGTTTTATCGGTTCCTTTATTTTGTTCTTTAGATTCCACGTGTAAGTAGAATCATATGGTATTTGTCTCTCTCTGTCTGACTTATTTTACTCAGCGTATCACCCTGTAGGTCCATCCATGTTGTAGCAAATGGTAGGATTTTATTCTTTTTAATTAGCCAAGTAATATTTCATTGTATATATGTACCACAACTTTCCTATCCACTCGTCTATTGATGGGCACTTGGTTGCTCTGAATCTTGACTATTGTAAATATCAGTGCAATGAACATAAGGTGCATCTATCTTTTTGAATTGGTAATTTTTTTAAAGATATATGATACCCAGAAGTAGAATTGCTGGTAGAATTAAGGTAGTTTTGTAAAAGAATTTTGAGGATCCTCTCTATGGAGATGACTTTCTAGCAACAGTGTACAAGGGTTCCCTTTCCTTCACACTCTCACCAACCTTGTTTGTTGATTTATTGGCGTGAGAACATTTTCAAATGAAGAAAATAAAAATGAAAGATCAGTCAAGCGGCTGACGAGTGACCAGTCACTGGCATCCGTATTGCCTGACTCTGATGTTCATACACTCAGCTCTTGTGCAATATCATTCAAGCTCAGTAAGCGAGCATGTTGCTTGACGTACATCCATTCGGTGTCCAATTATGTAGCATTTAAATGCTTGAAGCCAAAAAACACATTGTTTGAAATATGACTGATCTTCACAAACCTGCCTTTCTTATCTTTGTAGGAATGTATGGAAATAGTTTTAATGTTGCCAAAATCTGTTGTTTAACGATGCTAAAGAAATGTTTGCCCTAGGGTTTAAAGGTCACCTAACAATAGAAAATAAAAGAAACTTGCCACTGTTAACATGAAATGATACATTTATGTGAGAGGCACAGTAAGCCTGCCGTTTAGGAGATACTTGCAAACACGCGCACAGCCCAGAAGACCTATGGACTTTCTTTACCTTGGTTTGCGTGCACATCTGGTGCAGTATCAGTGGAAATAGCATCGTGAAGAGTTGCTGGAGGTTGTCCGGGCACTTTTCCTAGGTCACCAGAGTCTGTGACGTCCTCTTCCCCTTCATCTCCTGACTGTCCCTCTGAGCCTGGGGTTCTCTGATTGTTTGAAGCCAGCATCAGCCGGAGCGCTTGATTCTCCTTCTCTAGCGTGTTGATCTTGGCCCGCATTTCCTGGACAGCTCTCACAAGCTGGACATGAGCGTCCATCACCTCTTCTCTGGTGGCCCTGGTGTGCAGCTCTGGGGAGACAGGTCAACTTTGGCTCATAAGCCACATGCACAGTGTCCTCAGTGGGGTTGGCTGATCCGCCCATACAGCTTCCTGAACAATAGAGGTCATTCTTCTCCGTGCCATCTTTCAGCACCTGGGGAATTAGGCTGTCAAGGGAGGTAAAGGATTTCCATGACTTATTCATTCTGGGTTTTGTTTTTCAGAACAGAGCTTTTCTTTGTATTTTACATTTCCTATCAGTCCACGGCTCTAGAATATTGCTCTGTGTCTGAAGAGAAGAGAATGCTCCGAAGTGTCCAATGAGAAGCAGTTTCTTGTTTCTGTCATGAACTCACCGCCCTACCTGCCAGTCAGGCTTGTTCTCTGCTGCTATTTCTGGGATCAAATGGTTCATAAGATCGCCAACTGTCACAAGCACATCAAAACTGGCACACAAGGATTATGCCTTGCCTGCTCTGTAACATGCCATACTTCTGAACATTCAGGGTAAATGATTAACGTTGACATCTGTTGGTTAAGGGTAACAGTAGTCATAGGGGGGTCATATAAATTGCAGCAAGATTGTTTAAATAAAATACTTATAATGATACCTAATCCCGCAAGATAAGAGCAAGGATCATAGAATCACTTTTCAGTAGGTTTCTATTTTATAAGCGGTTCTGCTGTTATTTGTGGGGGCTGGAAGAGATTGGCCAAAGAACACGTGTGCATATGTGCACAGCCCATGGACACAGGCCACAATGTGCTGAAGGCTGGGGGGGAGGGGCTGGATGGAGGGGGCAAGGGCAGAAGTGGGAGGCATCTGTCATCATGTCAACAAGAAAAAATTTTTTTAAAAAAGTGATTGGACAAAGGCTGCCCAGGGGTACTTTGGGAGTGTGAGAAGATACAGGTTTATCATTAATCTTTTTTTTTATCGTTGTTCTGTTTCAGTTGTCTCAGTTTTCCCCAGTTGCTCTCCTCTGCCCACCCCCAACTCCTCGCTTCCACAGGAACATTAATCTTGAATGAGAAAGATATGAAACAGTTAACAGCTTTCATTACCTATTTCCTGAAGAGGTGTCTTTATTGGGGAGGAAAAGCACAATTCTTAAGTAGCATGTGCTCTGATAGCAGTATCTGTTTGGAAATTCAAGTAATGCTTACATATATGTATTCTTTTACTATAAGGTACAAATGGGTAGAACATTTTTCATGCTGATAGTTTAACCTGCACATTTATTTCTTGCTGTTGTCTAGGTGTATTGATGCTTTTGCTGCCTTAATAAATATTTGTTGATTGATTAAGACTGCAAGTGGAAGAAATGATTGGAGAAAGTATTATTCCATTTTTAGTCATACAAATTTAAGTTATATAAATTTTAGGGTGTGCTTACTAAAAAGTTAGTCTAAAAATAGTGAGGTTGTTTTGATATACAGTTGACTCTTGAACAATACTGGTTTGAATTGTATGGGCCCACTTACATGTGCATTTTTTTCTCGGAAATGCTTGTACTGTTTTCTAACCACGGTTCAGAGCCCCTGGGTGTGAGGACCAACCGCATGCATTGGTCTAGCATACTATACTTGAGCATCCGCAGATTTGGGTGTCCACTGGGGTTCCTGGAGCCAATCTCCCATGAATACTGAGGGACAACTTAAGTTTTGGGGGAGTCAAATGTTATACATGGATTTTCAGCTGTGTGTGGGTTGATGCCCCTAACGTTCTCATTGTTCAAGGGTCCATGGTACTACTTCTGTTTGTATTTAAATGAATTTCAGTAAACAAAGTGGTTGTGGAAATATGGAATATGAAGTAAGATAAATCTTAAAGGACATCCAGCCTACCTACCTATCAGATTTTCAAATATTTTTCACAACCTCTCTGTAATGGCCTATGGGCCCTGTATTTGAACAGCTCTCCTTTAGGAGAGTGCCCTTCCTACCAAGGTATTCCACTTGCTTTTTCATTAAAATTATTTACATTGGCCAAACACTGGCCTCTATGTAGTTTGTTCCTAGTGCATCTCTTTGGAGAGGAGAAACACATGTCTAACTCCTGTTTTAATGAAACTTTTAATTTCATCACGTTCTAGTGAGTGTCTGCTCTTCAGAATAAACACCCCAATTCAACACTTCATGATCTGATGTGGGTTCAAGGACCTGGAGTTCATCCTGGCCACTCTCATTCAAACATGTCCCCATTGACAATGGGCCTCTTGCACTAGGATCTCCAGGTCTAAATGCATCCTCTCGAAGGTGCCCAGTTAGGCTAGAGTGTTTGGCCATGCCTTCTGTAAAGTGTCTTGTGGGAAATATCCCCCAAACGTGGGCATTAGAGACCACTCTTGGAATTGTATTCAGTCAACAAAGCAAGAAATAAAAATAGCTTGTATGACTTGGAAATAGCAAGGTATAATTATTTATAGACAATTTGATTGTATATCTAGAAAGCCCAAGAATACGAGTCAAAATGTTATTTTGTAATCTACCCTATGTTAAAAAATAAACACTTAAAAACCAGTAGTTTTCCAAAATTCTATTAATAACTGTGTAGAAAAAATAACTGAAAAATATTCCACTGGCAATAGGCCCCCACAGAGAAGAAAACTCAGTAATTATTTTCTTTAAGTTTTTAAGGTTTAAAATGAAGAAAATCTAGCATTTTACTAAGAGAGGACACTTAAGAAAACAAAAGCTATGCTCCTGGCGAGAGAACTGTATATTTTAAAGAAATAGCATAGTTTTATAAACCTAAAAATGTTGAGTGAAAAATTAGTATGTCCAACTACATATGGAATACAATCAAAACCATGTAAAAAGAATTAGGAAGAAACACCCCCAAAGGAAAACAAGTTCTATCTCTGTGTGGTAAGGTCTTGGAAAAATTTTATTTACTCCTGTGTGCTATCTGAATTTTAAAAATTCTATAGTTACACAAAAGTTTTCCATGATGGAAAAATTAAAAAATGAAAATAATATTCATGTAAAAGGATTTATTGAAATGAACCAACATTATATTTTCTTTGGACTTTTTGACTTTTGTATTTTAATTTTATTTTTTATTTAATAATTTTTATTGTATTTTTCATGACCATTTAGTGCCCCACCACCCAGCCATAACCACACTGTTGTCCGTGCCTATGGGTCCTTTTTCCTTTTGCCCATCCTCTACCTCCTGCTCTCCCCACCACTCGCTGTCATCTGCTCTCCATCTGTGACTTTGTCTTTATTTTGCTAGTTAGTCCAGTTTGTTCATTGGATTCCACATATGAGTGAGGTCAAATGGTATTTGTCTCTCTCTGACCGGCTTATTTCACTTAGCATAATGTTCTCCAGGTCCATCCATATTGTTGCAAAGGATAGTCCTTGCCAGCAGTTTTGTTTGTTGATTTATTGATGATGGCCACTCTGACAGATGTGGGACAGTATCCCATTGTATAGTTTTAATTTGCATTTCTCTGATGATTAATGGCGTTGAGCATCTTTTCAATGTCTATGGGCCATCTGTATGTCCTTTTTGGAGAAATGTCTATTCAGGTCCTTTGCCCATTTTTAAAATGGGCTGTTTGTGTTTTGGTGTTGAGTTTTGTAAGTTCTTTACAAATTCATGATACGAACCCCTTATCAGATGTGTCAGGTAATATGTTCTCCCATTCTGCGGGTTGCCTTTTTATTTTGTTGATGATTTCCTTTGTTTTGCAAAAACTATTTTAGTTTGATGTAGTCCCACTTGTTAATTTTTTTTTATTTCTCTTGCCTTGGGGAGTTAGTTATATTGGATAAAAATTGCTACAAGCAATGTCTGAGATTTCACTGCCTATGTTTTCTCCTATGATTTTTATGGTTTCAGATCTAACATTTAAGTCTTTAATCCATTTTGGATTTATTCTTGTATGTGGTATTAGAAAGTGGTCTGGTTTCCTTTTCTGCAAATATCTGCCCAATTTTCCCAACACCATTTATTGAATAACGAATGGGCTAAAGGCACTTTTTGGCTTTTGATTAAGTCAAATGGCTAGTGAGAACTGGAATTTTAATACCAAACCAGTTTTAGTCTTTAATAGTTGGCATGATAGTGTTAAAACTTGATGTATGAGTAAAAGTTGTTTAAAATTAGTAAATTTTTATATAAATGCTAGGGTTGATAGTCCTATAATTACTTATAATACGTTTCTAAGGGTGTGAATGTCTTATGCAATGGAGCAGGCCGGCCTCAGAGAGCCCTGTTTTGGCAACTGACCCACTCAGCAGAGTAGACAATGTTCTGGGTGGGATGAGAAGGAGGGAAGGTGGTGACTGGGGCTCATGGAGAACGCGTCCAGTGGCATACTCTCAGAAGTCCAGTCTGGTGAGTAGTTACAGTGTTTGAAGTTCATGGCAGTAGCTGACAGGTAATAATTTAGGCAAGAGAGTGGTTGAGGGGCGTAGCCCGAAGGATGGCAGAGCGGGTCGTTGTTGGCTTATAGAAGAGCTGTGGCCTTTGCCACCATGACTCTCTGATGGAGCTTCGGGCCTTTATCTAGAGCTAGTTTAATCAAGACTGTGGGCCCTTTCTCTAGAGCAGGGGTCTTCAGATCCTTCAGTGTCGCCTGGGCGTGCTTGCTTAAAATGCAGGTTTGGGGCACAACCCTGGACCTGTTGTGGACTCTCTGGCACCAAATTGGTAAGTCACATGGTAAGAAGCTCCCTGCATTATTCTTATGCATATTAAAGTTTTGTAACAATTATTCCAGAGCAGTACTGTCCAATAGAAAGATATTGTAAGCCACATATGCAATTACGAATGTTCTAGTAGTCATATTAAAAAGGAAAAGAAACACATGAAATTAATTTTACTGTGTTTTTTTTAACATAGTGTATCCACAATGTTGTCATGTCAACATGCTAATAGGTGTAGAAATTGCAAATGAGATATTTTATATAGTTTTGCTCACGCTAAGTCTTTACAATACAATGTGCAATGTTAGAGTCCATCACAATTCAGGCACTCGGTT